CATCCATCCATTCATCCATCCATCCATCCATCCATCCATCCATCCATCCATCCATCCATCCATCCATTCATCCATCCATTCATCCATCCATCCATCCATCCATCCATCCATCCATCCATCCATCCATCCATCCATCCATCCATCCATCCACCCGACCACTCGTGCATGTTTGCTAAGTGACGTCATAACTCCGCCGCTCCTCATTTTTGTTCAGGTTCGCCGGCAATTTTTTCGTCGTGCGGAGACTGATCAACGGTGTGATGAGCCACCTATCGACGTCACACGAACTGCGTCAGGTAAAAACGGCAGCGGCCCTTTTGATCTATAGGACATAGTGACAGTAGGGGAAAGGGTTAGATAATTCACTGATCGTGTGTTGTTCACGCATGCGTACGGGCGTTTTGTGGGTTTGAATGCCTGTGTTGGTGCATGTATGCCTGGGCGAATGGATGTACGTATGGGAGCGTGTATATTTGTGCGTGTATGCGTGCGTGTGAATCTATGTACGTGTGTGAGTGAGTATGTGCGTGCATGTGCGTGTGAGTGCATGTATGCCTATGTGAGTCTATCTATGTATGTGTGCGAGTGTGTATGTGCGTACATGCGTGCGTGTTAGTGCGTGTATGCCTTTTGTGAGTGTATGTACATGTGCGCGTGTGTATATATAATATATACATATATACGCATGCGTCTGTGCATGTTTTTGCACGCATCTATCTTCAAAGTCACCGGGTGATTCAGTCGAGTAATGAACAAAGCCAACGAACGACGAACGAATTCATCAGCAGCTTAGCAAATCGCCCCGGACATCGTGATGTGATGATTAGAAAATAAGCGATGATTACGTAATATTCTCGCTTAAATTAGCGCATACAAATAAGTCTCGCTCGCGTTACAACTACGAATCATAAATAGCGAACATATTTCGCAAACTTTTAGACATGAAAGTTAAACAACGATGAATAGATGCGATAATATAAACTGTTGAGTCGGTCTCGGAAAAATAAAAAGCCGAATAGCAACCGCATTACTAGTTATTAATGAAATCAGGAGTGAATAATAATAGATTACTATTACTATTATTATTTACTCCTGGTGAAATGTAACCATATCTATAGCAGTAAAGGGAAATAAGGGACTGCTATTTTACTAGTTGGCTTAAGGCTATCAACCTAACCCGCGTAAGAGTGAAGAGCTTCAATGAGCAAAGCCTGATACAGGAACCAGAGCAAACATAGTTTCCGAAGGTGCATATACTCTACTAATTGAGCCAAAATGGGGAAAAAAATACCACTCGTCTATGTCACACGATCGGAGAATCGATGACCAATATAGAAGAAGAGGTCCTAGCAGGAGTCGGGCCGAATAATTATCATGATAGATTAGTGCAACGACACGACATATCACACGCAACGAATCTCCTCATGGTTTCATCGCATGTGCTTCCTCATAGAACGATTGATTTCGTTATATACAGAGAGGCGGTATGCCGGATAGGCACTGAATCACGCATACCACTGATTAGTATAGATAGCGAAGCTTTCTCTCGAAATACCAATCAAATGTTTAACTTTCTACCGTTATTGTTATCGTAGGTTCGAGGCCTTAGAGGACATGACCGAGCTGTTTTCTAGGGTTTCTATCAACGTGGATATAATATAGAATGAATTGAGTGGAACTTATTACTGCCATCCAATGCTGGTGTCGGATATTATAGACCACTGTATGGGTCACACGGCTTGACATGGTAAACACAGAGTCATAGGAAATCGCTCACGCAAACACATACACGCACACGCACATACACACATAAACGCGCGCGCGGTGGTATGCGTTATTAAATCAGATGAGAGTAACCTCCTCACACTAACCGCGTAACGTGTTAAAACAACCGTGTGATGATAATGATGATGATGATGATGATGATGATGATGATGATAATGATGATGATAATGACGATGATGATGATGATGATGATGATGATGATAATGATGATGATAATGACGATGATGATGATGAAGATGATAATGATGATGGTAATAATAGTGAGAGCGCACAAGGGAGTCAATACATATAATACGAGCTGCGATAGTAACAACTGATGCTGCCTAGATACTCTCTCTTACGCGTCCCCGGATGTCACAAACACCGCGTGACGTCACCAAATACATTACCAACTTATATAAACAGCGAGTTGTGTGTAGATAGATTCACTCTACTGACAACGGGGTCCAAACGTATTGCAAGTGAGTTAGAACTCACCGCGCGCGAGCGCGCGTGTGTGTAGTGAAATTGACTTCATTCCTTATGGTCTAACCTGGTCTGAAAGTATTATAAGTGAGTTGATTAAAACTAGCTGTAGACAAACCATAGTCAAAACAGGACGAGTGAGTGAGTGCAGTGAAACCAGCTACGGCTGGCTAACTTTGCGTAGCCGTGCATGTATGAATCGTTGTAAGGGCGCGATATAGTTTAAAATAATGAGTGAGTGATGTGATAG